ACACTTCAACAGTGTGTCCCATTAATTTACCACCATAGCTTTGTCCCGTAAACCACTGCTTTTGGTGCACATCCATGACCGTTACTGTCTTTTCCATCTCCTTTGTCTTTTCTCATTTGAGCGTAAATTCGATTGATGACATTTCATTAGTGTGTCATGTGTATCCCCCATTAAATTTACCAACATACCTTCGTCCCGTAAATCAATGCATTTGGCGTGTTTTGGAACAAACTATAAGATCAATACTAGTTTCTTTTTCCATCTTCTTGCTTTTCTATTTGAGCGAAAATCATGTTGATGGAATCTCATCAAAGTGTAACATGTATATCTCGTTATGTAATTTATTATGACCATGTTCGTGTCTCTTAAGTGGGTACTTTTTGCTTGTTTTATAACACACTCAAAACTCAAAAGATATTCATTAGTATCATTACTACTTGTTTCCATTTTCATCTTTTTCGCCAGTTGAGTGTAAATTTGATTGATGGCATCTCATCAAAGTGTATCTCGATGCTTGTTATTTAACTTGCTTGTAGAGAGAATAAAACTGTACAATATCCTCATTCATGAGCATCTCCAAATCAATCTTTCAAATTAGAATTAAATAATAAATTTTTATTCAATTTTTATTCAATAGGAAATTCAAAATGATTTTCTACTTCCTTAGAAAACAATGCCCGTTTGAGTAAGGACCGGGTCGGCAAACAATATATGTCCCGAGATACCACTATAAAACTTTGATAAATAATACTACAAATGGAATTGGAATTCAAAGGTCATGTACCATTATATTTGGTTCTGATTCAAAACTTGCTTATTTGACTTGATGTCCTTTTATGTATATGGTGTTTTTAATTCGTTTATGATGAGCTATACTCGAGACCATGAACTTATATTGAATAGGCACAGAAAGTTATGTCATTTATTGTGTGAAAAAGCTGAAATGGTCCATTTATATATTTTTTTTCTTTCCAAAATGGGTATTACAACTTTACAAGTCGTTTTTTAACTAAGCCAAGGGATGTTTAAAAATGTGCTGTATGATGTGTCTGCATTACTAACATCTAAACCACATATCTAACCTTTCTTTACAAAAAAACAACCTATTACACAGTACACACCAAATGCATGCATTTTCGTACTATCCACGAATCATACGGTTTCATGTGGTTTGTATCTTCACTACTATAAGATGAATTTTACAATTTACATATATGTTACATATTCGCCACTGTCACATACACTCTTACTCATATAGAACCCGTTTGATAGCATGAAAATCGACTGTTTTGGCTGATTCTGGTGAAATTTATGAAGTTATGGCCGAAGTGGCTCTGTGGCGGTATTGATTGATTCTGCTTATTTATTTAAAAAAAAATTAAAATATTTTATATTAATGAAATAAAGAAAAACTTACTTGAAAAACTACAATGGTCATCTGCAGTAAATTCAGCCAATATAGCCAGAAAAGTAACTACAACCTTACTTTTTCCGCTTATTACACAATTCAACGCGCGAAAGCAAAAGTTACGTGTTTGGTGAAAAAGTTGGTGATAAGCCTGATAAGCCGAAAAACAGTGGTTCCAAATGGCCTCATATATAATCCTTCCCAATTTTAATTCTTACTTATTTCCCAATTTTTACTTTTTAATTATCCATCTCCTATATATTCAGATCCTCTCTTACCAGATACATATATCACTGCGGCACTTATTTTTTAGCATCAACTTTACCAATAAGTAATTTTCTTAAATCTTACGTAGTATTTTTTAACTCCACGTGTTGAATTATTTAAGGGCAACTTCTTTATTATGAGATTATTAGGAAATAAAGAATGTCACAATTGAATAGGAGAGATTAATTATTTGTATCATTTGATAGAAAATTTGATAAATATACGAACTCTGATTATTGTCACCGATTGGTGAAAATCATTTAGATAATCTTGACAATATTCTAAAAAGTTATTTGAACGGTCTTATACTTCGTATGTTTTTAGTACATTTTTCTTTATAATCTTAAAACGGAAATTGTACCGGTGGGCGTAGCTCAACTGGTAGCGAGGGAGTGCCACAAGTGTTAGGTCTCGGGTTCGAATCCCGGCAACTATGATGAGGGGTTACTATGCTGAAAAATGCATAGGGCCTCTGTAAGGAAACAATGGCACCAATATTACTTCCTAAGTTTCCAATTACAAAAATATGACCACTTTATATTTTCCCCAAAAAGTGAGCAAGCTCTCCTTCCTTCTGCCGAAACATTTCACCATCCTTTACCATTTCAAATTAAATGGACTAAAATAACCCAATCTAATACATCTGCTTTGGCCCATAGATATTGCACGCAGTCTTCACTCCAATCTTCAGCCCTTTGGTCGAGCTCTATTTCCATGGCAGATGAGAAGTCATCGTCGTTACTCGCCCTGCTATCACTCTTCCCGCCGTTGGCGCCATGCGGTCACGCAGCCCATCTCCATCGGTCGAGTTCTGCTTCGATCTCCATCTTCATCTCCTCTGCGAACGTTGTCTATGAGAGAGAGCGGCGCTGGCGCACGGCGGTGAGAGAGAGCTCGTGTTTCGGCCAGATCCATCGTGTACTGGAGCTTGTATTCGACCAGATCTGTTGGATTGTCGTGGCTAGAGGGGGCGGCAAGGCAGTGTATGTGGGTTTTTCGATGCTGGGGCGTTGGGATGAGGGTTTTCTGGTGATGGGGCGTTGGGATGTGGGTTTTCCGGTGGTGGGGAGTTGGGATGGGGGTTTTCCGGTGGTGGGGCGCTAGGATGAGGGTTTTCCGGTGGTGGAGCGTTGGGATGGGGTTTTCCGGTGGTGGGCGTTGGGATGGGGGTTTTCTGGTGGTGGGGCGTCTGGTGGTGGTGATTGGTGGTGGCTGGAATAGCTTTGGTCGGAGTAATTGGTATTACTGCGGAGATGTAACTGCACTGGCCGCCGGCGGCGGCGGCATGTCACTATGGCAGCGTAACTGTGGCTGCTTAACTGGCTGCGTCACTATGACAGTGTCACTGTGGCGGCTTCACTATGACGGTGTCACTGTGGCAGTGTCACTATGTCGACGGTCTCCGGCCGGCGGCAGTTACCGGTGGGAGGTGGTGGAAGGTGATGGTGGATGTCACTATATCTCATGTCATTGTAGTGTTCGTTGTAGCATATCACTATAGAAAGTGGGTAAATAAGTACGTTTATTTATTACTAGTCACATTACTGATTTTTTTTAAAATGGTCACTTTTGTGTCAATTGGTCTTTTATTACTAATATTCAAGTCAAAAGCCCCTCTGTAAGTACCGGGGATAGAGCCTCACTCTCTATCTGTCAGATTGTGATTATAGTCCAATACATCCTCCCATCGTGCCGTCCGGTCGGTGTTGGGGGGCCCTCAGGGATAGGGTGTCATCCTTTTTTTTTAAACGGAAATTGTTCTAAATAGGACTAATGAGTTCCTAAAAAGTACAAATAGGACTACTACTTTTTAAATTCCCTAAATAGCACAAAACATTTATTTTATGCCCTAAATACCCCTAAGAGTATTAATTTGTAATGAAATGCTTTAATTCATAATAAAATCATTAAAAAATGTAAAAATATTTAAAAAAACGTAAAAAAAAAACTATAAATATTTATAAAAATTCATAAAATAAAAAAATTAATTTTTATTTTTTCTAATTTTTTTTAAAAAATTAATAAAAAATAGTAAAAACCCATAAAAAAATGAAAAAAATTATGGATACCTTTTCCACCGCCTCCCGCCGCCTCCCACCACCACCTCCTCCGATTGGTGAAATTTCTTCCACTTTTGGTAAAAAAAATGTCATCTTTTTCTGAAAATGCCAAAAAGATGGCATAATTACTCTTCAATATGCCAACATTTTCATTGAATATGCCATCATTATGGCATTATTTAAAATGTTGGCATATTTTTCTCCGGTGATGGGAGTTGATGGTGCTTGGGTGGCAGGGGTGGTAATGTTTTTTTTTTAATTTTACGATTTTTTTATTTTTATTTTTTTTAATTTTTTTAAAAAAATATTTTTTTTAATTTTTTTAAAATTTTTTTTATTAATTTTCTATTTTTTTTTTATGATTTCTAGTATTTGTTTCGATTTTTATTAATTTTTATGATTTTATTATTAATTAAAACATTTCACAAGTTACAAGGGTATATTTGTCCAAACACACATAAATAGTCATATTAAGGAAATTTAAAAAATGTAGTCCTATTTGTGCAATTTTGTCACTTTTTAGTCCTATTTAAGGAATTGACTCTTAAAAAAAGTGTTTAAATGTAAACTTTGTAGTTTATATCGTTGAGAAAAAGTTATCAAAATTATACTCCGTATAAAATAGTGAAAAGAAAGAGACACAAGTGTCATTGATTTGTTTTTATATGTCTATATCACGGATGTTACATATATATCGTGCACATTGTTACATCGGAGATAAGTTTGTAGATTCAAAGGGATATGTTTTTTTTTATCATAAAGGAAAAAATTCTAGAAATTTTAAACAAAAGTATAAAAGAAGTACGTACTAGGCAAATGTTAATTCCCCTCAAAATATAGTATAATTGCTAGTAGGGGTGGGCCTAATGGTTTGGTTTAACCGAACCGTACCAAACCGAAATCAGACTGTATGCAATTTGGTTTGAGTTTGATACAATTTCTTCAAAATCGCATTAAAATCGAACTGAAACCAATACAATCCGAAGAAATCTGAACTGTACTAAAGAAATTCAAAAAAAACCTTCATATATTATTAAAAATTAACAAATCCAAATCTAACTAAACTGAACCGAATCAAACCGAAAAATAGTACTCCGTATGGTTTTTGTTTGGTAATAATTCTTCCAACATGTTCCAAATCGAACCGAATCGAAACCGATAAAAATCGAATAGAAAACTGATATGCCCAGCCCTAATTGCTATTCTGCTAAATTATACGGAGTAATGAGTAATCTTTTTTCTTCTTATATCCGGCAAGTCCGTACTATAACTGCCGTAATCGGTAATTCCCTCGTCAGTTCACTGAAGCAATGCAATGTGGTCGGTCGTAAGACCTCGAAATCTCTCTTCATTGAAGCAGCTAGGGTTTCCTCTCTCCCTTCTCAATCGATCGCTATGTTCCTCCGCTACGGAAATGATACCTCTGAGCGGCGGCGAACTCCGAAGCGGAGAGTTGCTGAAACTGGATGAGGTCGAGAAAATCCTCACCGATGTCAAGGCAGACAACGTCCAAGTTATCCCCATTCAGAAACGCGACGAGTTCGTCGATTTCATGGTCGTCGCCACCGGACGCTCAGCCTGGCACGTCCGGAACATCGCTCAGGCGCTAATCTATAAGGTTAAGCAAAAGCAGAAAGGGGCGAGAAGGATGCTACTGCCAAGCGTGGAAGGGGTGGAAGGAGGGAAGTGGGTTGTCATCGATTCTGGCAGATTAGTAATCCATGCTTTTGATGAGAAGGTGAGATCGTATTACAATTTGGAGAATCTTTGGGATACAGATTCATCAAAAGGAGATGAAGATCAGGATAAATATTTGGAGAACGCGTTCGTCAAGGTTCGTCCTAAGAATAATTCTAAGAAACGCCCGAAAGCAATCGCGCCCAGCTCTTGAGATCGTTAGGGTTTATGTTTATGCATCATGACCTTCAGGTTTTAAAAAGACTTGGAAATTCTTATGATTGGAATTTCCTTCTTATTTGTGAAAATATTTGTTTCAGCGGATAAGTTTTCTATATCCAATGGTGGATAATTCATAACCAATTTATATACTTTGGTAATGATAAATTATGTAGTGTTCCAGGTTACTTTTTTGTGGATGCTTTTTCCCATTTCCTACTAGTGCTTGGTTATGAATTGATTGAATAACCTACACGGCTACACCTTATTTTAACAATATCTTTTAATAAAATAAAATTATTACATACAATAGAGTAGAATTCCTTCAACAACAACAAAAAGTAGACAAAGGTTTGGATATTAATGACAATTGAGAAGAAGGCTTTTATTTATGGTGACAACTCCGGTACCCATTTAAAAAATATGGTACCGTACCTACCATGCATTTGATTGGTCCAAATCATTATATGCTTTTTAATTTAGATTTAAATAATTCTACTGCATAATGTTTATTGGTCCATTTGGACAAAGGTACGGTACATTTGGGGTACCGTAGAATCTACCTTTATTTAATTTGAGAGTACAACAACAACAATGGTTTGCTGATACCAGTAGGAAGTAGTAACAATACAAGTTACAACAAAGCAGAATAGACAACAAACTGACAAAGCAGAATAGAGACAAATTGAGATATGTTAAGTACGGAGTATATGAAACTTCAGCCTTCCATTCATTCTTTTCATAGGAAAATCTCTGTGCACTGCTTCTTTGTATCATCCGGGCTGGTAACTGGTGAATTGAAAAAGAAAATCAATTAGAAAGTTCATAGTTGATAGTAATAAGAAGAAGAAAAGTCAAATGGAATTGATGTTCACTCCTAAATTCTAATTCTATAAAGCAGTTAAATTTCCTAAGAAAGAGGGCACTCATGACTGACCTGTGTGGCCCACAGTTTTCTCAGATTCAAAGATCTCATAGTCATTTCCACCCTGTATAAGCAAAAAGTTGAAGTTCACTCACCTTCGACATTGGTTACGAGTTAAAAATGAGAAAATAACAATGAACTAATTTAGACTGTGAAACTGCGAATGGCTCATTAAATCAGTTATAGTTTGTTTGATGGTACCTACTACTCGGATAACCGTAGTAATTCTAGAGCTAATACGTGCAACAAACCCCGACTTCTGGAAGAACTCCTTCATAAACTTGGATCAATTTATCAAAAGTGTGTAAACAATAAATTCTCTCTTTTTATAATGCACATGTCAAGGACAATTTTTGGTGTGAATGATCCTGCGAGCTTTGAAGAGAACGGTCTGAAATTTTTATATTTGTGATTCATAGGAATCATAGCAGCCACGACTTGTTAAGAACTTGTCAAGAACTAATTAGCATTGATGATGAATAGATAGTACCTTATATGTTTTGTCTCCGAAGAAATGAATTTCATTAAATTCATCAAGGTATTTCAAGCAATATGTCTTGTCCCATCCTTGAGGGAAAACCTGTCAAACAAACATTTTTTGGAAATCATGTTTCTGTGCTTGAAATTTTCCTGACAATAAAATATCATGAACTCAAGCAAACCCATAATCACAAGTATTTACATCAAAGCTAATTTGGCCCCCAATGGAAAAGGTGAGGTTGTGGTGAGCAAATTTTTCTCTAAGAATTGATACCAGTTTTTCTCGTATCTTGTGAACCTGAGCAAATGTTCTACCAATTAGTCACAAACCGAACTACTAATTTCTCTGTTATAAATGTGAATCTATTAGAATATCAGTTCACAAACTCATGCACTAACCTTATCATACTTCTCAAACTCATCTCGCTCTTCCTGGCTACAATTTCTACCGATTGGAGACACATTAAGCATGCCACTGCGGAATTCAATGAATGTCCCCCTACATAGAAAGGAGAAGATATACGTTAAGACTTAAGATTAGGTTGTTTCTTGATTATTTAGTTTTTTTAGGGGAGTAAAAAAACAAATGTGCTCACCTTTTTATCGGAATATCCAAGTCAGCAATATAATGGAGGGTGAAGTTAATGAATTCCTGTATTTGTCAATAGCAGTATACATATAACAATAAAACATGTAGTAAAGCAATGATACAAAAGAAGGGCTGTCTCCATCTTTCCATTGTGTATATAGAAAATGAGCGGCTTAAATGCCTTGCACCGTAGTTGCACATATGCAGACTATGGAGTACTTTGCACAAATAGTTAGTCATTACAGATTATGTGGTTACCTTAAGTTTTTCTTCCCCCAGAAAAGACTTCAAGCTCTGCACAACATATGAAATTATAAAATCAACAATATAGCAAAGGTGAAATAAGAAGTCTTTGAAAGTCAACCAATCCAACTATATAAGGGTAGGAAAAACCTTAATTATATACATAAACTGTAAGTCATTACGATGAAATGAATAAATATTAAGGGTAGGACTAAGCTAACAACTGCGGTTGCCTACGAAGTTAACTTACTCCTGAGCATAAAAGGTTTGCCAACTTTGACATGAAAACAGTGTGGCTACGAACTATTTAGAAAAGAAATTAAAACCACATATTCCTTTCTACAAAGGGAAAGTAGAAAATCTTCTCGGGACAACTGATTAAGGGAAATTGGAAAACCTTTAAGGACAGAGGAAGTAAGAATGTAAGATGATATATGCGTGTGTTTTCATTATAAAAACCTACTACAGAGGTCAATTTAAAGGGTGATTTCCCAAATACCCCTACTACAAGAGAGATAGTGGCTGGCCTGGGACACCTAATCTTCCTACTACTTAAATTTAAAACTAATCAAGAACAACCATGACTCTTCAATAAAGTGAAAGACCATTGTGACATTAGTCTTCCCCCCTTTTTTATTTCAGGCCTCCAAGGATCATCTTAAGAAGTGTTTTTTATGAAATTTGGAATCTTTTTAAGTGTGTAATCATCAAGCTTTATGTCTCTTTCAAATTCAAATTTTATGGGGTCCCAATAGTTTTTGACTTTTTTCTTCAAAAGAAAAATATTAGCGCTAGTATGTATACCTCAAAAAAGGAGTTTCAAATAGCTATTTAACATTACCTGTGTTCCAATTAGCTTCCCATCCTTATGCGCAACTAGACCATTCTCAGAGAATACATAATCATAATCATTTGTTACTGCAGAAGATATTTTACACTTAATTGTGAGTAGGGCTTCCATAACTAGCTGGCCAATTTGGGATAACAAGGAAAAGGACAATTGAAGCTAACCAGATTCTCCAAGCTGTTCTGATATCTTTGCAAGATCAGAACCTCCAACAACACCAACTGTGACTACCTGCCAGTAGCCGATCATTTATTAAGATGAATCATTGCACGATTGAGCAAAGCAGCTATAAAGATCTATCCAAAAATGAAGACTTTATACCTTCCTCAGTTCTTGCATGAACTTCAACATCTCTGGTGTCGCTTTCTGGGAGTTTAGATCAGGATAACAAATAAGCATCAATCATGAAATGAAGATTGACAGCAAACACGGGTATTAAAAAAATAATACAGTAGTATTAATGGATAGTCGATGCAAATCTGGAAGGCAAGACATGACAACAATCAATAATTCAAGAACATCACAGAACATATATGCCTCTACTTCAGTTTTCAACAAAATGCATAGCCATTGTCTCAAATCCACTCGATTTAACTAAAACAAAATCTCTCGCAAGTAATCGCTAATTTATAAACCTCAGTACAAAAGATGATAAATATAACAAATTAACATATAATGGAAGGCTAGTGATCAAAATCTGATATGAAGAAACTAAAAAAAAAAGAACTTGTCTGTACACAGAGATCCACACCTTCCTCGGCGCAGTAAGGGTACCATCAACATCGAACAGAGCAATCAAACCAGGCTTCCTTGCCTCCATCGGATCTAAAGTTGTCACCGTTGAATCCGGCCAGAGCCTTTAATCTACAATTGCTTTGTGGTTGCACAAATCAATGTAAGAAATGCTTAAAACTCAAAAGCACATTTCACTCTCCAAATGCATACATAATCTACACTAGATATAGAGTACAATTATATTATATATTTATACCTACAAATGTACTCTTGGTACAGTATTTATAGAGAGATGGTTACAAGTAGATGAGGATCGTCGATCCAAAGGGTCAAATGTGTAAAAACAATAAATGACGTAGATGAAAATGCAACGCCGTTACGAAACAAATAACCTACCTATAGGGGCAGATCCAGCATTCTAATCCAATGTGGGCCAAAATTTTAATATAGGTTAAATTACTGCAATCACAACAAAAAATTAAAATACTACATTCAAACATAAATATTACAAATGTTTTTTTTTCATCAAAGTTAACTACAAAAAACACAGAACAAATCACAACGGTTCTCTACGGATTTTCATAGACACATATAGCTTTATGATGATATCATTGTCAATTTTCAATCACTCCTACTGCCAAATTAAGGATCAATTTAGTCAGTTATTCAATTTCAATTACTCCCCTTACTCCACTTTTTTGAATTTCCTTAAAAAACTTCAACAAATTAATAAACTAACACACTTATTTACTAACTTATTAAATACTAGTATATTGCTGCAAACAGTATCACATCTTGTGAATTCTGCATCAAATGAACCCATTTTAACTTTTTTTTTATTATGACAGACGTTGGTCACTTGGTATATGGCATTCATCATTTCATTTAGTTTTTCAACCTTGGATTATGAAATTTGATTTAGCATTATTTTTAAACTTCGGTTGAAATATCTAATTTTAGCCATCAGACAAATACATTGTTGACCAATATATAAGATAAAGCAAGGACAAAGTTTAAATCTCGGAAATACTCGGTTGCCGGCGGAGGTCGTTAGAGGCATGCGGCGGTGCGGTGGGTTGGTCGCAGGACTCCCAGCCGTCTCTATTTGTCGGTGTGATGGTCGCAGCCTCGCAGGACTCAGGTGCAGCTCGGCAGTTGAAAATTGATATACGCCGATTTCAATTTTGTAAAAGTTTGGGCTTCTTCAGGGCCCATTGGATATGTATTTCATGTTTATGTAAATGTTTATATATTTCATGTTTTTATTTCCTAAATACGAGTAATTACTGTCATTTTTTGGTAGTATCAGACTTGAAACATGATATTATTTTTCAAGTTTGGCAACCATTATTCATATTTAAGAAATAAAAACATGTTCGTCCTATTTTGAAAGTTTTTTAACGTTTTTACTTCTATTTCGGGAATTTTCCCTAAAATTTATGCTTGTGCGGCATTTATGCGTGTGCGGCTAAGGCCTTCAACCCTTCATTATACCTATAGCTCTAAAAGGATATTTCGATTTAGACTTTAGAGCACCAAATATCTAAATGCAATCATGAAATTAAAAATTAATTTTTAATTTATTTTTTCTAAATGTCTATTTTTTCCTTATAATTATACAATTCATTCTTCTGATATATACCCAACAACCAATCTACATTATATACTTCTTGGGAGTACTATCTTATACAACAACAAATTCTACAAATCAATAATATATGTTAGTCATTAATCTTGTAATTCATAAGATTTTCTTTTGTTGTATTAGTATTAAGGATAATAATTAGAAATTTTAAATTTTATATTCTAAAGTATTAAGAAAGAGAGTGTTTGTAGCAATAACCTTACACATAAGTACTCTCGATATATAGTATTTAGAAAGAATGAAAGATAGTTATGTTCATATGAGAAGGACGGTCGATTCAAAGGTCAAATGTGTGAACACAACTCTATGACAGTAATTGATGTAGATGAAATCACAGCGCCGTTACGAAACAAATAAGCTAGCTAGCAAAGGTTGTAGAGTATGTGAAGGAGACTAAACTTGCTTTTTTACTTTAGTAAATCCTGCAAGAATTTCAGCAAGAAAAACTGGCTTATTTTCATATCAACTATTTCATTGATTTTGATTGAATACTACCTTCATCTCATAGTGGGAAGATACATATGAGTCTGACACAAGGTTTAAGAAGAGTAAATGTTGACGTTACCGTTTTATACTTTCTATGTTTGACATCACAAAAATAAAATAAAGTATGAAAACACAAAAACTGGTGGTTTAAATGACATTCCAAGTTATCGCATGTACACACTAATATATTAGCATACTATGTTATACATATTAATATATTATACACATGTTTCTTTATATATGTGTGGTTATATATTAATATACATCGCCTAGATATGAGTATTTAATCAATATATGCATACTTTTCCAGTGGGCCATACTGGGGCTTTGGTCCGCGTACTCTAAATTTGATAATAGAAAAAGGGATATTTTGAGTTTGCACCCCATTTTATTGTCTAAATTAGACTTTGCACCCCGTATTTGAAATCTTTAGTATTTGCACCCCAACCCCGTATGAAAAGACTAAAATGCCCCTCCACTAACAATTTTGTTGGTCTTTAACATATTCCTGATTGAGGGACATTTTTGTCTTTTCATAAGGGGTTGGGGTGCAAATACTAATGATTTCAAAAACGGGGTGCAAAGTCTAATTTGGCCAATAAAATGGGGTGCAAACTCAAATTATCCCATAGAAAAACTATGTATCATTTTTATAATTTTAGTATCAAAATTTATAAGAAAAATCATTTATTTGTGCAAGCCTTAATATATCACTTAGCTAATTTATCTATAACTAAATGAAAGAAAACAAAATTATTGTCTTCTCCAATTCATCATTTTTTGCTAGTAATATACATAGAATGAATTATTATGAACTACGTGCAAACTTTTTTATCGAACATTGGATTACGATGTTTTCTTTGTGATAATATTTACATAAAAATATGCACACGCAAACACACGTTATGAAATTGAAAAAGTTGTAGACTTCGTGAAGGATACTATGATTAGCTTCATACTTTAATAAATTTAGCAAGGATTTCAGGAAGAAAAAATGACTAATTTGTACAATTATTTTTTGTTTTAGTTTAAATTCTCATCTCGTCCCTTAATATAAGATATATTTGAGTTTGACATGGATTTTAAAAAAGTAAATAATAAAGTTGTTATTTTGCATGTCTATCCTCTAAAAAGTAAGATAAAATAAGATGAACCCACAAAATATGACGGTGAAATGATAGATAAGGCGACAAAGTGCGAAAGAAAAACGATAGTGAAATTTAATTTAGGAAAATGTTTATACTCGTGAGACAACTCAAATAGAATGTATCTTACAAAGTGAGATTGGGTGAGTCATGTTTTATTCAAATAGATAAGATTTGTTTGTTTGACACTTATAATTGTGAGAATAATAATATTATTTTTGTGAACATATTATTTTATACTACATCCATCTCTTTGAGATCTTCATAGGTTAAATAACATACACTCTAAGGAGTGTTGTTTCTTTGACTTCCTGAAATATTATTGTGTTGAAGGTAAATATTATGGCAGAGTACAATTTTTTACACTATTTGATAGAGTTTAACATAATTTCACAATGCATAGTCATTATTATTTAAAAGTAGTAGCGTAAGTTGATAAAGAATTATATGATTTATTTTGGTAGTCCTAAAAAGAAAGTAGGAGCGAAGTTTTTTAAAGAAAGGGGGGAATATTAATTTTTTATTGTTTGTGATCCTGAACTTTAATTAGGTTATAATCGTAAGCAATCAATTTTATTCAAAAATACTTTAACTATATAGCCTTTTCTAGCTTAAAGTCTCTGAATTACGCGACAAATCACAATGCCGTCACAGAACAAATAAGCTAGCTAGCAACAGGTGTTGGGTGCATAAAAGAGGTTAGGCTTGTCAGTTTACTTTAGTAGATTTCGCAAGATTTTCAGGAACAAAAAAAATAGTTTGTGCTGTGTGAAATTAAATTGGATTCAGAAATATCTAAGTTGCTTTCATCACTTAAAATTTGTAAATAATGTCGACTTTGGGTCTTTTGGTTTGTTATAATTGAGAATTGATGGTGATGAAGCTATCTTCAATGCGTAGTTTATATAATTAAGGAACACTAAGAAAGTAGAAGACTTTAAATTATGTCAAACGTCTAAATTCTTGTACTTTCAATCAATAAAAGTAGTTTTGTTTACTTATACGGAGTATATAATTACAATTTGACATTCATACGATCTGTTTTATCTTCAACTGTACTAAATAAATTGAATATTTTCTTTAAAATATAACACACACATGTGTGTAGCCGGGATACACTTTAAGAAGAATATATTTTCTATGGCATAGTACATAGTCACACACCACGTATTGTAGAGCACAATCTTAGTACAATATCATTTAATTTTTTACCCTATAAGTTCTTTCATAATCATGTCTAGATGTATTAGTCTTTTGTTTAATAGACTATGTACTTTATGTGAGATTGAAGCGTGTAAATAAGAGGGTATTATGATCAAACAACTATACGATTAATTTTCTATTGCTCCAAGTAATCTCACTTATTAGAAATACAAATGGCAATACTCTCACTTGTCATTAGTCCGTTTAAATATGAGTGTAATTTCTATTTTTTTGAACATAAACTAAGAAAAATGAATGACTATATCTATAAATTCATCAAATTTTTGTATTGAAATAACTACAATGAACTACACACAATTCTAATTTGGCACACTAGATTGAGATGTTTTCTAAGTCTATATATGCATGTATTGACTATATATACACATTTATGTAAGTATATTAAATCAATAGTGATGTTTCAATTAGAAAGATTAAATGTGAGTTAGATAAGTTTTCAAAATGTAAGTTGATCACACTGTTCAAATCCTACATCGATAGACTATTACGTTATGTATAATTCAGAGATTTGAAGATCTCAAAAATGAAGAAATAACAAATTTCCTTTTACTATTAAAGGAATGAAAAAAGGTTGTCGTTTCAACAAGTGTGTCAGATGAAGAAGATATAAACGGCGTGGGTGTAATAATACATATGATGTAAGGATAGTTTTTTATTACGCTAAGTAGAATCGCTTATTAACATATACATCATACAATAATGATTTGTTGGTAAAACGATGTTTAATGCATAAGTACGAGTTAATTGTTGTGTGATTAAGCATATGTTCTGGTAAAATTTATTAGTAAGCAATCCCTAAATGGACAAACTATTATATTGCTTAAAAAAATTAATACCTAAACTTAGTTTACAACTCAAACACATACACACATACATACATAAATACACATATGTATGTATGTATGTATGTATGTATGTATGTATGTATGTATGTATGTATGTATGTATGTATGTATGTATGTATGTATGTATGTATGTATGTATGTATGTATGTATGTATGTATGTATGTATGTGTGTGTGTGTGTGTGTGTATGTGTGTGTATGTGTGTATGTATGTATGTATGTATGTATGCATGCATGCATGCATGCAGGGGCGGATTGGGCTATAGGCCAGTGAGGTCTTAGGCCCCACACAAAAAACCTCTTTTTACTAGTATCTACATGTATATATAAATCAGGACCAACCTACAAATATATAATAAAAATGTTACAGAGTTATACATAGCAGTCTCCCGGTCAAACACAGTGCATCGGTGCGGAACTTCATGATGTTTAGATGTTCCAAAGGCCAAAAACTGGCCCATATGTGAAATGCCCAAATTGCAGCAAATTGACATTCAAGCATCGAACCCTTAGTCCCTGCCTCTAGTCGCTAGGTCTCCGAAAGACTCTGGCTGACTTGCTCTCTTGCTCTCTGCGATTATGCTCTCTACACCTTAGAACACACATGTTTTGGTCTTCCATTTGAGGTAGGTTTTTAATGATGTAATTTGATTATATTTTTTTATTTCAGTTTTGAAATACTGCTTTTAGGTCCAGGTTCTCTAATGGCTTTGCTCGTCTCAGAAATCGGAAGGGTTGAAGGGTTGTAAGCCTTTAATGGATTTAATAAAAAATACATAGTAAAGTTTTTTCTTTATTCTTCCAAAGTTCCATGCTTTGAACTTTATAAAATTCTAATTTTATATGTTATAATTATGTTAACGTATGATTGTATGAATGCTGAT